TAATCACTACTTTCATTCCTCTTCAATGACGGAAATGCCAATTTTCTCACCCTTTATTTGAAGAAACACATGAATGATTAGATAGTTGTCAGCTTGAGATCGCTAACTTTTCTACAGTCTAATTTTGCACGTGGTAATCTTTAAGGCATGCCTACCCACTAGGTTTGAAAACCTGTGTATAGAGAGAACTTCTAACTGTGGGAGATGTTTTTAATAGTACTCATAATTGTGAGACGACCCATGTGAATACCTTTTTCCTTCCTATTTTTCCTTCAGATATCTGTTCGTCCAATTATTTATTACCTATATGTATCTGTTTCTATTATTAGTTACTTTTTTGCACAATAGTGACATTAAGAGGAAAAGTAATCTTGGCTCAAGTATATTTAAGAGGGCTATCGTGCTATGCAGCTTCTCTTTGAACAGACATCCAACTCAGTTGATTTGAACGAAAAGGAACTAAGAATCATTTAAAAAAAAAAAATGAGTTAGGTAGGTGTAGTTTTGAGCTTCATTAGCCGCACATTTTCTCCTGTCAAAAATTTTAAGTTCATAAAAAATATTTCAAATGTGAAGCTAGCATTCTACTTTACCTCTAACATGGAGTTTTATCCGAGAGGAGTGAAACTTCAGAACTCTTTTCTTCGTTCTATTTAATGTTGCATGGTTCCTTTCTGTTAATTTCGATCCATTAATGCATATATGATCATATTTTGTGAAAAAAGATAAATTGATAGAACCTTCAAAACAAAATTATCAGGGAACGAAAGATTGGCTACTCGAACTTCAAGCTGAAATAGCCTCTCATAACTGTAAAAGGTCTAATAAGTTCCTCCAAAAATATTTATCACCTGTGATACTTGATAATTATAATTTGTATTATTATTGAAAATATTTATTATTTCTTCCTCCTTCATTTTATTTTAGGTATTTCCTTTTGTACTGAATTAACATCCATCCAAATGAGGGATGTTCATAGTCAGATTTGTAATGTACAGCATAAGATTTAATAGAAATCTAATAAAATGGAAATGTAAATTCTATCCTCTCGAGTTTTTTTTTTTTCAATTCACCCATTATTTCTATTTCCGACTTCATTGCCCACCCCCTAAATTGATGTCCTCCTGAGAGAAGACTAAACAAAAGTCTGCATTTTTGGTAGAACTAGAAAAACTGACAATGCAAAATTCATAAGGATAACATCTATACATTGAAAAATGAAGAAATTTCTTGTGTCAGTGAGATATGGAGATCTACCAGGCCGATTCACAAGAAATTTTTTTTCGAGTGTAGTGATGCGTCTGAGAATTTGCTAAATTCGATCAGATTCCATCCTTTGTTATTCCCATTTTTTTAAGAAAAATTAGAAAGGTCTATAGTAGCTGCAGTTCGGTTTTCTATTTGTTGTTCTGCGCGGTCTTTCACCCACGCAGCTCCCGCCACCTCTCCCGTCGAAGTAGTCGCATAAATTTATGGGTCGCCTTCCAATTTTTTGAGGCCTCATGAAATCCACTTGCGGCGTCAATAAGTGGTTCACGTTCTCCAACGATCCTATTTCCCAAGAAGAGAGTGAGAGACTCCTCAGGCTTGGCTATACAAAATTTTAGTGCAAATATTTATAAGGGTTGTTTGAAAACACAAATACTTAAAAAAGAACAACTTGAGAGGAAACGTGTACTTGCTTTTTGTCAACGCCTTACCTAGGATTTTATGCGAGACCTTTAGGTCAGCTTCTTTAAAATGCTTCATCATTGATTTGTTTCTTTATGAACTCACGATCAGTCCACCAGTGCTCCGATTCGACGGTCCTGAAGCAATCAGTAACGCAAGATAAATTCTCTGCAAGCTTCAGGTCCTGCCGCACCGAACGCTCAATCAGCCGTCGGTTGATTCACATTTCTGGCTGGACTTTTTTCCAACTCCTAAGCTAGGAAAATTACAAAATTCCGGCCAAAGTATCACAAGTGCCATGCGTTGTTTACAAATTTTTGCCGCAATTTTATTCTTTTAGGAAGAAATTGTTCAACGAAGCTGTCCGAAAATTTCACTGAATTTTTTTTTGTGCTGCCGATAAAATTTAGTGAAATTTTCAAACAGATTCGACCAACAATGTATTTTTCTGTTTAAAAACATAGTGGCGGCGAAAATATTTAAACGTCACATGCCGCTTGTGATACTTTGGCCGGAGGGTGACTATGTTGAGACGCGCACCATAATCTCCTCTGAATTAAGAGACCATGGAACGACTTGGCCACATTCGTCGTTCTTAGATCAGAGAGGGTAGGGATCGCAGCCCTCATTTCGTCGCTCCTCTGACGTAAGGGCGTATCTCGATTTCGGGATGAGCCCCAGAAAGCATAGACTCATATGTGAAACAGTGCTCACGATCATACTGAGATACGCCCTTACGTCAGAGGAGCGTCGATTTCGGGACGGTGACGTTTTTATGCGCATCTAAACAATCGAATCATTGCACGAAAAATTGATAAAAGTCGAAATATAAATCAATACTAGTTTACTCCATTCGCACAATAAGCGACGCTGGAATGAAGTTAGGTATAGTTGGAACAAGCAAAGCGTTCTTAGTTAGTGTTGAATGCGACGAACACCATTTTCATTTTAACTCCTGGATGCTGCAACTTTTTGGGCTTCGTGGATGTGAGATGTGACTATATGAGTATCTTTAGTGGTTCAATTTTGATATCGCAATGTGCTGAGCATGATTTGGACTACATTTTGCAATTAGAAACTACGATTTTTCGCTCATCCGGTAAAAACACTTATGTGCATAGGGAGACTAGTGGTGAATAAGTTGTCTTGCTGGAGCGCACTTCAGCTACGCATTCACCACTGCAAAAATGTCAGAGGAAATAGACACGCCCAGCTTGCATGGAGGCTATCTCCATTTAAATCTTCCGTCACATACTTAAGGCGCAACGATACAACTATTTGAACTCTCCGGAATGCGTGAGGTATCGTGCCGCATTTGAAGACGTTTTCAAAACAACCAAGTTCCGTTATCGGAATAATTGTTTTGCACTCAAATATCGATGGTTCGTTCCACGCGAAATGAAGCTTATTTACCTCGATTGCAACGTTGCAAACCACATTTTATGCTTCAATTTCGATCGGTATTTTTTTAAAGATACGCACAGATTCTCTGAAAAATTAACAATAATTTTACGAACGATTATAATTAAAATCACGGGAAATTTCGTCGCAATATTTTATTTAGTCCTATTTTCCTTATCTTCTTTTTACCGAAAAAAACCACGGTCCCTGATTCTAAATCGTAGGTATTAAAATAGTTACTTTTGTTTTTTTATGGTGAAAATGTTGTCTAAGTGTCGCAGCGATTTTAGCGTTCGTCCCGCTCGCGAGGGTCGGCAGGGCAGTGAAGAGTCAAGACATCTTCGCAGTATGAAACTCCTTCAATCCGGCGGAGCTGCAACATGCGTACACCCGTGGTCGAATAGTTGTATGTTACGCCTGCGCGTAAACGAACTCAAATATCGATGGTTCATTCCACGCTAAATGGAGCTTATTTACCTCGATTGCAACGTTGCAAACCACATTTTATGCGTCAATTTCGATCAATATTTTTTGAACGAAAGCTACATAAGCTTTGTAAGCTTTGTAAAGCTTTGTAAAGAAGCTACATTTCGCGTATAATGAACCATCGATATTTGAATTCGTTCGTTCGTACGCATGTTGCAGCCCCGCCGGATTGCAGGCGTTTCAAACTGCGAAGATGTCTTGACTCTTCACCGCCCTGCCGACCCTCGCGAGCGGGACGTACGCTAAAATCGCTGCGACACTAAGACAACGCGTCATTATTTATGACTCGCTTCTAATTTTCACCATTAAAAACAAAAAAAAAACTATCCTAATACCTTCGATTTAGAATCAGGGACCGTGGTTTTTTTTCGGTAAAAAGAAAATAAGGAAAATAGGACTAAATAAAATATCGTGACGAAATTTCCCGTGATTTTAATCATAATCGTTCGTAAAATTATTGTTAATTTTTCAGGAATCTGTGCGTCTCTTTCAAAAAATACTGATCGAAATTGAAGCATTAAATGTGGTTTGCAACGTTGCAATCGAGGTAAATAAGCTCCATTTCGCATGGAATGAACCATCGATATTTGAGTTCGTTTACGGCAGGCGTAACATACGACTATTTGACCACGTGGGTGCGCAAGTTGCAGCTCCGCCGGATTGAAGGCGTTTCAAACTACGAAGATGTCTTGACTCTTCACTGGCCTGCCGACCCTCGCGAGCGGGACGAACGCTAAAATCGCTGCGACACTTAGACATCGCGTCATTATTTACGACTCCCTTCTAATTTTCACCATAAAAAAACAAAAGTAACTATCCTAATACCTACGATTTAGAATCAGGGACCGTGTTTTTTTTCAGTAAAAAGAAAATAAGGAAAATAGGACTGAATTAAATATCACGATGAAATTTCTCGTGATTTTAATTATATTCGTTCGTAAAATTATTGTTAATTTTTCAGAGAATCTGTACGTATCTTTTAAAAAATATTGATCACGAATATTGAATTACGATTTTTTACGTTTTTTTCAGTGGTTGGCGACCGCGTAGCGACCACAGGCCCCTGGTGCTTAGTAATTTTTTTTTTTTTTTTTTTTCCCTCCCCGACACTTTGATAATTAAAATGTTTATACTGGCAGGATAATTATTTCAAGAGTTCTGTGCTGACAGCTTGTTTTTTTTTTCTCTCTTTCTTTCTTTGCAGATCTGTGTATTTGAAAGATCTTCAGCGTTGAAACGATACAAATTTTTTTCAAAAGCCATTGAAAAATGTCAAAAGATGAGAATGTTAAAGTAATTCTTCAACACCTAATTATGAAAACTTGCGAGAATTCCTAGAGGTTAGGCACCATGCCATTGGTGTCGTGCGTTTTGCCTATGCCACATTGTAAACAAACCGTTCATCTCTCTTGCAAAATACCGCCATTCGTGATTCGCGCCATTTTTTGCTCTTGGTGTTGTCCGTTTGAATGTTCAAGTTTGCGTGCGCCTCATGCCCATGCCTGTTTATCAACCGGCGAAATACCCGTATATCCCTTGATTTCACCGAATTTCTTTTCATTTATCTCGAGTAAGATCCAGCTATCGTTCAATTGACACCAAGAAACCTTTTTAAGCCGTAAGTAACATTAATTCACCATGTTGAGAACTTTGGCCAGCCAGCAGGATTTTTTGGTTATGTTACTCCAACTCTGTTTTCCGTTAAGTACTTTCTATTCCACGAGCTATCGATGTACAATCTAGTGCTCCTTAAATTCAGAGCATATTTCTCTTTAAACAATAAGTCTATTATCAATAAATCATGTCTGTACTTTCCATTCTGTTGTGCTTTATCTATGTAGGCGAGCAACCAGCCTCAGCGAACTTAGTTTCGCAAAGTATTCTGTTCGGTGCAACAAGTTTAGGAGTTGATGGGAAATTTGATTTTTTTCAGCACTGTCTTATCAAACAGAGGTCATTTGTTGCATTCAAATGGAGTATTAGATAGATGCATTTAACATAAAATAGATCTAGGTAGCGATAGGCGGCCGGAAGAAGGGAATGCTAACTCCTGGCTATCATTGCCTTAGTGAAGTTCATCCACCCAAAACTTGTTTAGCTCAGGGTTGGAGATAGTTTTGCTCATCCCTGGCACTGATGAATAAGTCTACGCTTTGTACTTGAAATCTGGAAATCCTCTCTCCTCTTGAGAGGTACTTACTTTTATGCCCTAAATGGGTATCCAAATTAGAGCGAACTTCTATTTATAAAATTGAAAGTTAAGATTTGTATTTCCTTCCAGTTTCAAATGCCTTAGCTTGAAATGAATTGCCAAATTTTTCTTAATGAAGTAACGCACATCCTCAAGTTGTATATAAATTTGTCAGTTTGGCACTTGAAACATTTATTATTATTATTAATTTCTACTCTTAAGTAGAGCTTGTACAGTATGTCGAGACTAACGCCAATCTCTGACTAGCTCTGAATAAGTACCACTCAACAGGTTAATACATGCAGTCAGACGTCTAACAATTCCTCGACATTTGACTCAACATACAATGCGCAAGCTCTGATTTGTTATTATTGCAGGAGCAGAGATTTCAAGGTATTGTAATTGTGAAGTGCCCTCCCTGCACCCAGTGTTTCAATTATAGAGTATCTTTGTTTTTGTCAGATCTCTCAGTAAAAATGTGTCGTCAAAATCGGTTTGAATTCAAGGAATATTTTTCTGTTTAAGTTAGCTGCAGCTGGACAAATGGGTCCTCCCGAGAAAAAGTCGAAAAAACATAAAAAAGAGAAGCAGAATGCCAAGAGTGAACTAAATCTCAAACCAAATGTTACGGAAGAAGAAAAACATCCACCGAAGAGTCCGAAAAAACGGAAGCATGCATCTCCTGCGAGAGAAAGTCCTCTACCCGAAAGCCCCTCAAAGAAGAAGAAACACGTCTCAGATTTCTTCACAGCCTCTCCAAAACAAAAAGTAGCCCTGGACGCTTCTACGGCCTCCCCGAAGAAGAAGATCAAATTTGATGAAAGCATTACAGTTGGATCTGAAAACTCAGCCGCTGAAAGCAAGCAGAAGCCGTTGCAGAATTGTAATAATAAAGGTAAAGTTTATAGTGATGTTCTTACTTAGAAAATAGACACCTCTCAAATGAAGTATAATGAAAATTTTCCCAGAAATGTTTTATCCAGCATAGTGACTCGCTTACGATCCTTTTATTTTTAAAAATTAACAGTATTTTGTTGTCTTCTCACGAGAGAATGTATCTCAATTACGCTGTCTCAGTATTTCTTATTTGCATTTTATTTGGCCATAGGAAAACCGTCTTGTGTATTTTCTCTAAAGAAAGGGTACTGTTTAGGGCAATGGTTCACCTATGAAAAAATATAATATTTGTAAGAGACAAGATACTTTCCTTTGTGCGGGAGAGGTTGCTTTCTTTAAAGGAGCCATACTGTAGTTATGAATTCTTATCGTATTTCTTATATTGCAGGAGCAGAGACCTCAGATACATCTGCAGAACCAAGGAAGAATGACATATTTGGTAAGTTGAAACCTTTGCAAGAACTGTTAAATGTAATCTGGCTCGAAGTTTAATCTTATCACTCCCAGCATTGTTTTGCTAGAGGTGTCGTTAGATAAGTTGACCATTGTTTACTTTCGGTTTGTAAGCGTTTTGGCATCACTACTATCCACATGAAAACATCCGACACTCGCAGAAGCAAGAACACAAGCTCAGATTAGTTTTTTAATACTTTCAAACCTTGTAACACTTTAATTTTTAGCCACACAGAGATCACAACCACATAAAAGTCGCCAATCCTATCCGCTATGTAAGTTTTTTATGATGCGATCATGAAACGGAAGTGGAAAGGAGCGAACGCCATTTTGTGCAGAAGCCTAAATTCGCCGTCTGCGCTTGCAAACTGAAAGTAAACAATGGTCAACCTATCTGACAACACCTCCAGCAACACCCAGAAAGCATTGGGTTTCATTCTCTGCCAGAAAACCCATGTTGAATGGTCTCCAAAAACAGTTGCGTGAGGCTGGCTTCTAATTTGAGACTGAGGATGATGGGGCTTCAACTATAAGTGCAGGATCACCTCCTCGAGGCCACTTAAAATTGCAGGTCACTCTAGTGGCATCCTTTTCTTTTAACTTATTTCTTGAAAGTATGGAGTGACTTCAGCTTCTAGGGATTTTTCTGATTTCTCTAATGCTAAATGGCAGAGAAACACCGTTTTTTGTCAATGTGAAAACTCAGGAAATGTTTGTTCTTTACCTAGGTCAAGAAAAACCAGGAAAAGTCAAGGAATTTGTTCCCCCTGAGTTTGTACTCACCTTGTCTTTGCCTGTATCAAAAAATGAGCAAAATGTTTAAAGAATGACATGAATTTTCACTTTTTTCCCCACCAGGTTGGCCACAGAAAGATGTCAAGAAGCTTATCGAACGACTCATCCTAGAGACCAGCAATAATATCAAGTCTACTAAATCAACAAATGCACCTCAGAAAATAAATTGGGACAAGGTTTGTACCTAGATAGAAAACAAGGTTGAGAACCCAAAATTGGTTAGAGTTTAGAATAAGCTCCTTCCAGCAGAATAGCTTGTCGTGTATCTCATGTATCACATGTTGATGTCAGAAGTAAAAAAATGTGTATCTCCATTGCCATGTTTAAAAATCTCTGAAAATGTTTTGTTTCTCTTAGAGAAAACTATCTAAAACACCTTCTCAAAATGTTCAGTTCGTATTTTTGAATGGGTGTAAAAAATGCACAGAAATTTTAAGTAAAAGTTCTACTTAGTTTCCCTGAAAAGAAATTAAGACACGAGTCAACTTTCGTAATATCACAATCAAAGATACACGTTTTTCAACTTCAACCTTGAATTTATTACAAAGTACCGTATTAAGAGGAAATAATCATAGTCATTATGATCGTTCACCTCCTAGTTTGGTAAGTAGAAAGTTTCTCTAGCTGAGTGGGTCCAGCTTTTACCTGATCGTCTAAAATATTATCTTATCTCTGTCAGTATACTTGCATAAAAGCGCTCCAGAGTGTCTTGAATGTGTGAAGACTTTCTTATTGAAGATTTCTTTCACTACCATTGCTGCCGTTCTTAAAATGCGTATTGCTATTTCTCAGATTTTTCGACCTGTCCCCACTTCGCAAAGTTCTTGTGATGTACGCTCCTATCGCCTTCCTAAGGCGTGATGACTGTCCGTCCGCTTTCAATTTGCAAAATACCAATAAAAAGTTTATGGAAAAAAAGGCTAAGACATAACATCCCCCCCAAGAGCATTATCTATTTTCTGAACAGCCCCAAATGCCACTTGAATTCATCCAGGGTCAGATGAATAAGGTCACCTGTAAAATGTGCAAACCCAGCATATTCTTTTCTTAGAATCAAACCTCCCCTTATTTTTTTTATTTTACCCCTTAATTTCTTATCTTATGAGCTAATCGGTTTCAAACCTCTTTCTCTTTTCCAGGTCAAATTTGACAAGTATAGCGCTGATGAATGTCTTAACATGTGGCTCCATGTTGATAGCAATCAAAGAAAGTTCAGGACATTAGCTGAAATTCTGGAAGACGCTGCAAAGTGGGTAGAGAAACCCCACTACAGTATGAATAATTTCAGGAGGGTACGTCAAATTTTTCATTTTAAAAACAATTTTACTCTTGATTGTACCTATATTTCGCATTTTGTGTTTTCAATTTTCTCTGACCCAGTCTGTTTGCAAGGAGACTGAGGGTAACTATTTTAAGTAGCTACAACTAATATCTTCTCAAGTTTCGCATTTTTCTCTAGTTAATCTTTTTGGAATTTTCATGTTTATTTCAGATCTTTCCAGACATGCCAAAGCAACCAATGTCAGCCTTTTTCATTTTTTCTCAAGAAAAAAAAGATGACCTGCGGCAAAAATATCCAGATTTATCTTTTGTGAGTACAATTTCTAAAAATTAATCTACTTTATTAATGTGTTTCTTTTTCAAACGGTCCCGTATTTTACTTCAAAAAAAATTTTACTTAAAAAAAACTACCTAAAAAAAATTTACCTTAATCAAAAAAGGAGTCTATTATTATATTTTCTCTATAGGTAATCTAAAAGATTTTGAAAACTTGTTTACAATTGACTTTCTGTGAAAAATTACCCAAGGTCAATTGTCAGTATTGTTTTCCATCACAAAATTATAATGCAAATCTTTAAGAAGGAGGGATTCAAATCCGAGTTTAGTTTTAAAAAGAGCACTAAAACACTACTTAAGCCTTGCTACTTAAGGTTGGCAAGCATTAAGATGCGGTGTGAAAATCTAAAAATATCATGCATCTTTGCTGAAGCATCTCGAAAGAAGAAGGGAATTTCGGAGGGAAATTGAGTGAGTTGAAAGTAAGTTTCTAAATCTCATGAAAGCTTCCTCATAGCTACTTTTTTACTGCAGATATGAGTCCAAAAAATAATCTTAAAGCTACAGATTTTTATCATATTTCAGGTAAATAAAGGTCTTTCAGTATGAGCAAATATTTGCTACCCCGAAGTTAGTGTGTGACATTGAGCAGCATCTGATAGACTCAGTTGCCATGTTCAATGAGGAAAGGCGTATTTAAGGGCGAACACTACAAAATAAACGGTTAAAGCTTATTACTTGTGGAGATTCAGGTAAAATCAGCAAAAACTGCTCTGACTGAAAACTGCTTACATTAGAGGACATTGATGATGCAAATTTGTTTTGATGTAAGCTGTTTCTATTGTAATTTTTGGTAAAATCGCTGCATCTTGTTGAAGCTGTAGGTAATCAGCCGTTTTGTTAATTTTGCCATTTGTATCATCAATTGCAAATTGCTTTACCTCGAATCTCAACCGAGTGCTAAAATTTTCATGCATTATTGTAAGACTCTAAATGGTGTGTACCGTAAGAATTCAAAGTCAACATATTTTTTTGTACATTTGCAGAAAGACTTCAGTAAAGTAGTCGCTGAAGAGTACAAGAACTTGAAAGAAAAAAAGAAAAAGAAGTACGAGAAAAAAGCAGCAAAGTTGAAGGAGGCGTACAAAGAAAATCTATTAAAGTTTTAGTAAGTTTTCCCAATTTTTTTTAGTGTAATAATTCATGGACCTTTTCTTTTTAAGTTATTACCTATTATTTAGTACTAGTCAATCTTTACTTGATCACACTTTCAGCCACTGTAAATATTTCTTGAACATCTTCTTTTATTTTCAAGAATAATTTCATAACGAAGATAAATTTTTGGAAGAGGTCTGCAGGAATTTCTAGAGGAGATTAGGTCTGCAACAAAAGAGCACGTCAGATCATGGGAGTCGAAAATGACATCGTATTCGACGTCATGACCAGACAGCTTGTCTGGTCTGGTCATGTCAATAGAATGACGGACGAAAGGCTGCCGAAGAAGATGCTTGATTGGGTTCCTCCTGGGAGGAGACGAAGGGGATGCCCAGTGAAAGGGTGGCGACAGGGGGTTCTAGAAGAAATGAGGGTTCCCCAACTCTCCGAAGGAGTTTGGGAGGACAGGGAACTTTGGCGCCTAGATGTAGCAGAGCACCAAAGAGCGCTATAAAAGTGGCTCTACACATACATAATCTCTTAAAAACTTACTGATAAACTTGATTGAAAAACTGTACAGTAATATCTAATACACTAAACACCACTTGTTAGTAATCACAATATCATAATCATAATTTGTTATTCCTCATAATCTCAAATTAACGTGGAATTATGCCATTTAACCCACAACAACATTTAATTTGAAAAACAATATCAATAAAAGAAAATTAGAGAAACTGAAACATAGTACAAAAGTTGATAAACGTTGATAAAAAAAACAGAAGAACTAAGATGAAAAGTTAATGGGTATGTACAAAAAAGAAGAAAAATTATAAAGTTAAAATTCCATTAAAGATTGCATTAATAACATTTCAGAAAAACTGTACAAAAAAACTTCAGACAAATCACTTACTTCAGAGTTTAAATTTCCTTTTTGTTTTGAATTTTTTCTATTAGCTTCAAGACAAAGACAGCAGTGAGTTCTGAGTCCTTAGGTACCTTGTTCAACTGTGTCCGATGGGAGCATAGTGAGGAATGTTGGTTTATTGTTCGAACTTTTAAAACCGGTGAATACTAAGCTCAGGGGTGCTAAAAATCTGTCCTACTTATTACCTATGTGTACAAGAAAACTAATGGCACATAGGCTGTTTTTATAATGAAATAGAAGTAGCAGTTTCTGATTTATAAATGAAGTCCAATTAATATACTTTGATTTTTTTGATCAAAATTTCAGCCTTAGTGCTTTGAACCTTTCAAAAAGTCTCTGTATTTGTACCTCTTCATATTTTTTTTTCATTAAGATGTAGTATGTGTGTACTAATTTGCAATTTTTTCCTCCCAGTGAAGAGCATCCAGAAGCAAAACCAGAAGAGCCACAGAAAAAACCCACCCAGCCAAAAGCTGTAAAAGTAGCCGGGCCTGAAGGGGAAAAACCAAGGAAACCAATCACAGTAAGCAGATCATATTTTTAGCGTATTGAGAATGTTTTTTAATTAATATCAGCTCCTTTAATCATCAGGCCATACTTAAAGCTTCAGAGATGCAAAAATGCCCAATCTCAAGATCCACAAACCATAGATTACAGCAAACACAAGGCATGTTTAAGGACATGAGGAAATTTCCAATAGTGTTGACTTTTTTCTGCATTCTCTTCTCTTTGCTCAAGTGAGGCCAATCACTTATTTTACCATGAGATTGGGCATCATTCTAAGAGGCGAATGGAAAATTTGGCTGTGAGGCTAGAATGCAAGGTCGCAGCGTATGGTCAGCTTTTTGGAACCTTTTGCGCCCCTGGACGGCTTGGTATCTGTCTATTTTCCTGAAAATGGTTCCAAGGTCTTCCTACTGTTTTCTACTCAATTAAAATATTGGAAATTGTGAAAAACAAAATAGAGCACATCCAAAAATTAGCACATCATGCTCCGCATCTTCATCTTGAAGAGAACAGGCAAAGATTTGAAACGGGAGCTACTTATATTCAGCAGTCATCAGTCAACATAATGCAAAATCAAGAGCTTGATGATTGTTGTTCCTGTTGAATCCCCCAAAAACATGCCTCTCTGACATGAATGGGCGAGATTGGGTGTGTATTAGTCGCTCAATTGTGGAGGCGGAGATCATCACATCTCGCAAAAATCACGAATGGTCGGAGAATTTTCTGAGGAATAAAATTTATTTCGAAAACTCTAATCCAGCTTTCCCTCCAATTTTTGTAGGTATTTCTCAAACTCAATTAAGGCTTTTTTATTGTCTTTCATTCGAACTTCCCACTCAACTTTGAGCTTGAATCTAACCTTAGAGCCGAGCTTGAGCTTGAGCTTGGCGCTGGGCCGGAGCTCAAGCTCAAATATCGATTGCTGGCAAGGAACTACTTTTAATAGATGTATCATTCCTTTGTATCCCAACTGATTTGAAGTCAATCTTGTTTTATTGTGTTTTCAGCTTTACCTGGCAGAAAAATTGGTGAATTCATCACTAGATCCCAATCTGGAAAAGACTGAGTTAACAGATAAATACAAAGAAAAGTGGAAAAAACTCTCAGACAAGAAGAAACTTAAATATATTGTTGCAGCATACGAAGCTGAAGTGAAGTACAGGAAAGCAGTGAAAGACTATAATGCTGAACATGAGAACAGTATTCCTCTACCAAAGAATTCTGTTATTTCGAAGGAGGAGTTCACAATATTAGACAAGTATGTTTACTGGCGGGTATTGTATGTTAACGTCTGCAAAACTATATTTTATTCGTGGCGCAAGAGTCAGTTAAATTCAAAAGACTTATTGCCTTGTAAAAAGAGTATTCAGCTATTGAAATAGCAGAAAAACAGTAGTAGCTGAAGAAAAGAATTAATTAATAATGTCTAAAAACATCATAGAAAATCTAGGAATGGTTTCCTTTGTTTGAGTTTTTGATCTTATAACTAACCTGGGTTTCTAACGATCTAAAAATTGAGGAAATTACAGCATTAATGGTAAAAATCAGGGAACTTTGCAACTAAAAAATCAGCTAGGCAACCTCAGTCGGCACTATTTGAGAGGGTCCGATCAAGTTTTGAGTGCCTATTTCCATCATACAAATCTCAAGGTGAAGTTATGTTTGGAGATCCAGAACAGTCAGAAAATGTGAAACTTTTGGAGTCTAGGATAGGCAAAGAATGTCAAAGAATGTGAAATGAAAGAAAAAACGAAAAATTTTGAATGAACATTTCATGTTGTTGGAACAAACTTCTGGAAGAAAACTGAGAGAATTTAATGTGAAAATCATCTGTAAAAATTTCTCTTTCAACTTGAATAAAAATGTAAAGGAAAAATCAGGAAATCATTTGTGAAAATTACGCTTTCAACTTCACTTTAAAATGTCAAGAAAAGTAGTTTTATGAAATGTGTTGAATTTTTTTCCTTTAGCTAAATTTTTCTGTCTTGAATCCTGGTCATGGCTTTAATATTTTGGCTTTACACTGTTCCTCTAACGATCAGATTACCTCCTAGAATCAGGATACTGATCAAAGTCTGTAATTAATTTTTCATGTATAAAATTTTGATCATGTCTGCTTTATGATGCAGATCGCGAGGCAAACCTGTGAAACCTCCAACAAGCGCCTATGCTCTGTTCTTCTCGCAGAAAATGTCAAGTCCGGAAATGGCAGGAAAATCCAACTCTGAGAAGTTGCAGAAAATAGCAGGCATATGGAAAGACATGGGAAGTGTCCTGCAGCACAGATACAAAACTGAAGTAAAAGAGGTAAAACTTACTATTCTTACCAAATATTGATTAAATGCGTTCTGGTAGCAAAATTTCACTCGGCAACAGTCTCGGGTTGAAAATTTGACGTTTTTTAGCTTTCTGGAAAAATAGAGCCTTAATTTTGTTTAGGCAAGACTTTCTGTACAAAAGGAATCTTGTTGAGTCGAGTCGAGTCAAGCAATGGTAGTTTTAGATTTTGACGGGAAACTCTCTTGTGTCTCCTAGCGGCCGAGCTCATTTTCATATCAATAGAGAGCAAGAAGTTGCATCATGATTTGACAATTTCTCATTCTGAACAATGTTGATAGGACTTCTAAATCGCTTTTACTGGAAACTATATATCTTGCATTATTCGAAACGCTACAAAGTTTTATCTGATGTTCTAGTGCCTTTTTGCCCCAAGTACATTGTTCTGGAAATATTCCTCCATATTTTGGTGAATTTCAGTTACTCTATTATAAATTTCTTTCGAGCAAGGTCTCTTCGGTCTCTTCCCATGGACAGCAAGGTTGCCGTTTTTCATGGCAAATGGAATATTCTGATTCAAAAACGTCTCTTTGTATTAGACACTAGCAGTTCCTATCATCAATTCAAATTATTTAAAATCAGGACATTATTAGTGTACCAATTTGAACTCTTGAGCATAGCATTTTAAAACTTGGTTTATGTAAGTGACTATATTTTTACTCTCTTGCCCCCCTTGTGGGTAGAGGAAGTATTGTCATCCAAAAAAAAAATTTTGAAATTTCAGCATTTCTAGGCGTTTAAAGGTGCTTCGAGTTAAAAAAAAAACATACCCGAAAAAATGTATGTCCATATCTCCGTTCAGCGTACTGTTTTGCTGTGTACAGTAAAAAAAAAACAAAAAAAAAACATGAAGCTACATAAACCTAGTTTTTTTGCCCTGCCAAGATCTTTGAATAGTTTGCCCCACTTATTCATGTATTATTATTACATTTTTATATATGTACATTGCATTATTTCTCATTTTCTCATGACTGCTATCTCTCTCACAGTTGCAGAAAAATTTTGAAAAAGATTTTGAAGCTTTTCTAGAGAGGTTGTCCCCAGAAGAAAAAGATTATGAGATGGAAAGGTACAAACCTGCTGGCAAAAGGGCCTCGCCAAAGAAAAGCCCCAATAAGAAGGCCATCCAAATGACATTAGACAACATTGTGGTTTCGGTAAGTTATGAGTATATGTACACATAAGCAGGCAAAAATGTAGGGTTTTATCAGTATCAGCCTGACTGCGTTCCCTGTTGCCTAATTTTCGCTCATGATTTATTTTTTCAACAGAAAATATAACCATGTTCTTAACGCCTTTAAACCCTCTGTGGATATACCTTTAATTACAATGAATGTCCTCACAAAAGGACTACGTGCAAAACGGGCCATTTGGGGCTCGGGGCTGATACCTTTGAGACTTGCCCTATTCATTCACCTAACAAAGCCCCATCTTTCCTCAAAGTTTCAAGCTCCCCAAAAATTTTGGGGAGACGCGGCGGGGGGTCAAAGTTAAAAACCGGCAAAATTTTCGCGAATTTATTACTCGAAAACCAAGAAGTTTTGGAAAACGCGGTTTAAACGAGCGTATTCAGCGTGACGAGAGCTTTCAGAAAATGTATAACATCATAGGGTTTTGTCTACTTCAGCTCGAGTTATCGCCTCCGAAGCGCCGGAATACTCAAGAAAGACCCCTTATTTTTTCACGTGTGGGCCGATTTAAAAAAAAGCCATTTTTTTATTTTGATGAAAAACTGATATGTTGTTCCTAACCCTCTGTAGCCCCTCTAGCTCTTTACCGCATGCTGGGGAAATGCTTTGGTCGCGAGTTATAAGAGCGGAATGGAGCGAAGGTCGGGAAAATCGGCTATTTTAAACTGCGCGCGGCGACGGATCATGAGACATGTGGCAACAATGCGAGGTCGGCAGAGGAGTGTGATTCGCCGAACTGAGTGGGAGGGGACGTTTTCCCTCCGATCAACGTCGCGCGCGCAGTTTAAAATAGCCGATTTTCCCGACCTTCGCTCCATTCCGCTCTTACAACTCGCGACCAAAACATTTCCACAGCATGCTGTAAAGAGCTAGAGGGGCTACAGAGAGTCAGGAACAACATATCAGTTTTTCATCAAAATAAAAAAATGGCTTTTTTTTTAAATCGGCCCAAACGTGAAAAAATAAGGGGTCTTTCTTGAGTTTTCCGGCGCTTCGGAGGCGATAACTCGAGCTGAAGTAGACAAAACCCTATGATGTTATACATTTTCTGAAAGCTCTCGTCACGCTGAATACGCTCGCTTAAACCGCGTTTTCCAAAACTTCTTGGTTTTCGAGTAATAAATTCGCGAAAATTTTGCCGGTTTTTAACTTTGACCCCCCGCCGCGTCTCCCCAAAATTTTTGGGGAGCTTGAAACTTTGAGGAAAGATGGGGCTTTGTTAGGTGAATGAATAGGGCAAGTCTCAAAGGTATCAGCCCCGAGCCCCAAATGGCCCGTTTTGCACGTAGTCCTTTCAAATATTGGCATTCCCTGGTTTTCTGTTGAAAAAATAAAAAATAACAAAACATGGCAACATCTGATGGAATTAGGTTGTATCTTGTTTCATCTGTGTAGATGGCATCCAAAGCCACAGAGCTGTATTCTTTTTCCTACAAATAGTTTTTGAAGTTAATAATTGCAGAAGTATTATCAATTTTTTAAGTCATATTGTTTCAATTGCTCAGCTCATGTACACACTGCATTCTGCCATGATGATTTGTCCTCTAGCAATGAATTTCCAAAAACTTCTGTAACCAGACTATTAACCCCTGTTATGTCCCTCCTGAAAAGTTTGTGAGATTCCAAATCCTAGGAATCGACTTGGCAATACTTGATTGTAACAGACGTTTGAAATTGCTATGGCTGGATTTGGACCTGTTTTGCTTGCAATGCCGTTCGTAGGACTAAAGTGAGCGGTATTTATTCTCCAGAGATTGATTGTGCGTTTGATTTTACATTACTTTTAGTGCTGTTGATAACTATCCTGGGGGTAAAAATTTTAATTTTGTTTTTTTTCCTTATTTTTTTTCCCTTTTTTCAGAGTAAACCGACTGTCCCAAAACCGCAATTAATCATGGGAGAACCAGAGCCTCCTCCAGGGTAAGTAAACCAAAGGTTTCGATCAAAGTCAAAGCCGTGGGTATTTCCTCAGGGGGAGAAACTGCGCTACATTGTGCTTCGTAATAATAATATAAAAAAAATAATTCTGAACAATAAAGAGAATAAATCCAGAAGACGTCTAAACGTGCCTAAATTCAAAGTTATCTTTCTTCAGTGCAAAGGGAAGCATGGACAAGAATAAAAAAAAATTTCCTTGTTATTCTGCATCTTGCCAGTGTTCTTTTATTCTATTTTATGCTTTCCTTTACACTGATGAAGACCAAAGTGTTGGTCGAAACGTTTACGTGTCCACCATGTTAAGGTAAAATTGCAAATATATTAACATCCTCTTGCACATTGATTTTTCATTAAAGCATGGCCTAAGTCGCAATTATTGCATATATTTGTAAAGTCGGCTAATAGCTCAACTTTTGTTTTCGTCAATATTTTGTTCCCTGAACATAGCAGATTAGAATTCTAAATGGCTTTTTCTCCAATTTAACCAACATTTTTCCGAATTACTAACTTCAACCTGTCAACGCAATGGCCTAGTTTAATATTTTGGGGTATTATTTGTTCCATATTGTTTGCAAGACACTCTCCTTTCTTCAGGGAGGCAAAACATACCCTATGGTGCAATCCTGGGATCTAAATAGGTGTAAGGCAAACATTGGTCTGAAAACAAGTTTTTAAAAAAGCTCCTCTTTTTCCTATTGGTTGTCTTTTTGAAAATATGGCATTAAAAAAAGCAGGTATTACTTTTTTCCTTCAAATTGGATATTTTGTTTTTTGGTTCCACAAGACTCAATTCGAAAATTTGTGCATCAGGCAGAAACACCACATCGCAAGAAAAAGTCAGTATTTTGGAACTTTTTTGACTGTTCCTACTTCATAATCCAGTGTCAGACTCAGTGCCTTTGTGAATCAAGGTTTCCTGTCCTGTGGAAGGTCACTTTATGTGTGTATAATTTTTTTTTCTCTCTAATATTGGTTGATTTGTTTCAGGAATGAGTTGGAATTTTTCTCCCTGCAGCAACGAAAAGAAAATCCCCAGATTTCTCAGAAAGAAATCATAGGAAGTTACAAGAAATTGTCGGATGTTGATAGGGCCGCACTTAAAGCAGCGTATGAAAAGTGCAGAAAACAGTATATGGATGACTATGAAAAGTTTTTGAATGTAAGTTTTAAACCTCTCCAGTTTTTCTTTTTATTACCACCGCCATGGACCAGCTAACTTGTTCACTGGGTTAGGGCTTCTTGGCACAAAGGATGTAGCTTGTCTTATCGCAGTACCTACTCTGAAACCTATTCCTATTGATAAAATGAGACTTTAAATATACTTAATAAGCCAGTAACAATCTGAGTTACACAACTCCAGCATATATACGACACAGTGAAGAGTTTTTGCTGCCTTGAGAAGAAACTGAAAGTGCTGGTACTGATTTTGCTTCCTTTTTCATAACCCGGTTATGGAGGTCAGGACAGGAAATCCCTCATTGGTAATGAATGGATTAAAAGAGTCAGGTTAAAAAAGTAAAGAAAAAAATCAGCAAACTTTATGTAAAAAACTGGAATTTTGAAAAATCCTGAATTCTGAAATCTTGAAATCTAACTAATCCAATNGGGGGGGGGGGGGGACATCAGCAGCGTCGAATTGAGTCTCAGTCTGGTTTGGCGTTAAGTACTCCTGAGTTTGATCCTGAGCAGTGGATGGAGAAATAATTTTTTTCTAGGAATTGCAACTTTAATTAATGTGATGCACTGAGAAAAACGATTCATACTTTCAAAAAATGTCCTTATGCTCATATCGTTCGCAGTGAAATAAATTCCAAATATTTTTCATTTTAATTTCTACGCATGCCTGTGGAATTTTATCCTACCGAGTGTTCAGACACCTTTACAGTGCTTTCTTCAACTGAAAGCTTCACGAAAATTTCTATCTGCCGTGCCTGCCAAATTTGGTATGTACGAGTCAAGATATTCATACCTCATTCGATGTACACCTTTATTTAATCAACTCTGAACTGTGTTTTCTGATTAATCAGAGTTTCGAACCGCAGCAGCTATTGTTGTACACACGCCAGAAAGTGAACCCGGATCTCTCCACAAAGAAAAGTGATGATGAAGATGAAGAAGAAGAGGAAGTGGAAGAAGAGATCGCATCACTTGCCAAAACCAATAATGAGGATTCTGACGAAAGTAGCGATGAAAAGGAGGAAGAACCCAAGAAATCAGCGGGGCAAGTTCTAAGTCCTGCAAAGAAAAATAATAAAGCGACAAAAGAGTCTAGTTCTGATGAAAGCAGTGATGATGAAAGTCAAAGCACAAAGCAGGTTAGTTGGGTTCTCTTTGAATGGAAAAGATCTTTTTTGTGTTGATCGCCAGTTTGGAAACAAGCTCGAAGGAATCAGGGTGGCCAAAAGTCTGGGAAACCAGAAATTGTCAGGGGTATTGATATGTCATTACAATGATTTTACCTGTCATTACTAATAATGGGTAAAATCAGGGAATGTCAGGAAATTTTGATTGAAAGTCTTAAGTTTCTGATGTACCAATACGAATATCATACTTGCAGCTTTCGAAAAATCGCCTATTTTGGGCGATATTGAAGTGAGAATTGTGTGCCCATTATCAACTACTGGAAAATTTGTGCTTATGCCGCGTATAAAAGTGAATGATAAGTACATCTTAATGAATTCACAGAACTGCGGGATAATCGCGTATATGCTGCAGTATTGCAATGATTTTTGTGTAATTTCTCATTTACTTTACCAAAATTGCTGGAAAAGCGCATTTCCCGCGATACCAAGATAGAAAGCGGTTAATTTCTTTTCATTCAACGAATCTGCTGGAAAAATAACGTATTTCTTGCATTTTCAATTGCAAAAATCAAGTGTGCAACTATTCTAACTCCGGAGTAGGTATGTGGTATCACACAAAATTGAAGGAAAATCATAGCTTTTCGCCTAGCCTAAGTTACCGCTGTTCATGAATATAATGTTTGCATAGATATATAAATCGCGTATTTTTCACGATATTGAGTTGAAAATTGAGTAATCTTTTATGATTTTTATGAACCACTCAAAAATTTGAAGGTTAATTAGGGCTGTTTTTGGGCCCACTCTAGCTGAATTCCCTTAATCCAACGATTTTTTGCATATTGGCGGTCCATTTTCTACGGAATCCTTCATGATTTGGTCATATGGGGGTTGGGAGCTCGATTTTTTGGAAAAAATGCTGGCATTTGCGGTATTGAGGCCGAATGCCGCAAAATCTGCTTATTTTGTCCAAATTGTCCCTTAGACCCATGCATTGCTTAGGCTAGTATCAGACCTACAAAAACGGAAAACGGTAAAATCTTGATGTATTTTGTGAAGTATATAGACCTTCAATGCCCAAAAATTCAAAGAGTTGAGGAAATTCAGCTGAGGTGAGTCCAAAAACGGTTCTTAACAATACCCTTCCTTTAGAACCAAGCCCATCCATAATTTTGGTCCCATAGCAATACATTTTGGGCATTTGCGTACCAAATAAATTATCCTCTCATTCATCAGCATTTTCAGTTTATCAGCTTCTTACATAATCTTAGAAGACTTGTAGTTCAATTCAATTGGTTTTATTTTTATTTTCTCACTGTTTCAGGTATCAACGCAGCTGATAAAAAAATTGTCCGACTCAGGTACATCAGATTCAGAATCAAGTTCAGATTCTGACGATAGTTAATTGTTCAAGGGATATTACATTTTATGTTTGACGACTAGTATACAAATGCTCTCTGAAGATGATGATCAAGCCAGATCTTGATGACGGTCTTGTTCAGAAACATCTTTTATGTGTTCAACCATGAAAATTGACTCCTTTGGCTGAAGCTAGTGCTAGAAGTTTTTAAGTGTAAAAATACTAGAATTTTCTGAAAGACTCTGAAGGTCCTAGTTTTATGACGTCAGATTCAAGCAATGTGCAAAACATGTTTTTTGAGAAATAGGAGGAGGTTTATGAATTCGCTGGATAAATTGAGAATTTTGGTAAAAAGTTAAATTCGCTGGATAAATTGAGAATTTTGGTAGAAAGCCTCCTAGTGGCTCTTTTTAAATGTTATGTAGTCTGTTTCTTGATGCAAAGTTGGTAATATGTGGGTTGAGATAAATCCAGCAGATGTGAGAATCTGTGAGTGCACTACCTGTGTTTCCAGTAGAAAATTGCCTGTTCTGTCACCATAGTTTGGTAGAAAACAGTTCACCCATGTGCAATCTAACATTTCACCTGTCTACTCTAAAAGGTATTTGCTTTTAAAAACCATGAATGAAAATCATAAACTAAAATGAAAACTTCACTCTTTTTTTTTTCATTTTAAAATTTGATAGAACTTCATTTTTCATGTAGAACTTGTATTAAAAAAAAGATGTATGAAGGTTTAATAATCTTGTGAATGTCATCCTTAATTTTTAAACTACATTCCTCCTGAAGTCGAATGATGTATGAACCTCAGGAATTCTCACAGAAATGAAAAATTTGATAGTGATCAAAATATTTGTAAAATTTATTTTTTTAAGGATCTCATTATAATTTTTATTTTTGGTCTTTTATGTCTAAAGGCTTTAGTAGGTATATGCCTTGAAGACTAACCATGTACGCTTTTTTTTTTCTTTTTTTTTTTGGTTGATATTTCTTAAATTGATTTCTGGTTCAGACGTAGCTGTTCAAGGAAATGAAAGTTTTTTAATGTGATATAAAAATAAAATCAACACTCTCCCTTTTCTTTATCAAATTACTTATTTAATCGAATTTAAAATCATAATGCGAGCCAGGAGCAGAAAAATCAAGCCATATTTAAAATCAATTGAGCCTGTGATTCAGGAGAAGTAATATTTCCTGAAGTGTGATACATGGTTCCTTACCTCTAATTTGTAAGCTTTTCTTATTTGATTGCTCCAGTTTCTCTTATTATATGGCAATGAAACATTAGACAAGAGGCGAATTTAAGAATTATGTTTAATGTTATCCACTCAAAATTTCACGTCGAAACCGATTTGTTAAAAGAAACTTTTTGGAGGTAATGCCAAACCTAGATATTTACATTCTTTGATGCACAAATGAAACTTTCCATTCTTTAAAAAACCATGATCTATTTGAGTTAAATTGCACTCTGAACATCACTGTAACTCTGTGTGGTATGCGAATCGAGTAACTTCAATCCTAGAGCGTCAGCTCAGCTATCGCACGTTGTCTGCATTGTGAATAACTCTGAGAGGGGAAAGAGCACTGTTCAATTGAGGAGCCTGCCAAAACCGGTGTAGTGCAAGATTTACGCAGGCTTTGAATTATCTTGCGAGTAGAAACTGAAGATATTTTGTAATCAGTTCTATTTGAAAACATTAAATATCAGGGTTCGAAATCTGTCATTTCTAGTAATTCACGATACGCAAATTTGTTTTACATAAAATTTTGAAGAGGAAACTTTCATCAGAATGCTTAAATTCGGATCTATTCCAGTGGTCCATTTCTCATTAACAGCACCAATGGAAAAGTCGTAAATGTTATCGCTCGCCCTTATATGAGCAACAGATCTAGGAGTGAACAATCTTCTCAAGAGCCCAGGAAGTCCCCACAAAGGACACATATTTTTGCTATAATCTTTGTCGTGTTACTTGTTGTATGTTTCATTTAAGTTTCTGTTTTCAGAAAGAAATTTTATTCTGCTCTAAGTACCTAGTTTAAATACTTAGCATAGTCAAGTAGGTCTATAAGAACCATCCCGGCCATTTATTTTGTGCTCAGGTCTCATTTACCACTGTAAATATTGACCAATCTTATTTTTATACGACACCCAATAAATGTTCTTGGATTTGTGATTTTTCAATTTTTCTATTTCTTTCTTTATCTGAAACTAAATTCAAGCACATCATGCTGCAATATCACTCTAAAACAATACAATAATATACAAATTAAAAAATCATGGGTATTTTTTATTTATCCATCAAGTTGTCACTTGGCAATGGTTGGTGAAACATTTAGTGTGATTATTGCGGAAAAACTGCTGCAACGTTACTTATTTATGACCACAGCGCTTTTACTGTTTTGTAAAGTTTCTGCTCTATGCTCAGCAATCATTGCCCAGCAGGTTTGGTTATATTAGTCAGTAAAAATGATTTGACTTCTGAAAATCTAAAAACATATTTTATTCTCAACAAACATGATACTTTACATTACATAAATACACTATACAGATGGAGTTGATTTGACTGCTTAAATATGCAATAGGTCTCTCGTGCTTTTTCAAATTGATGCAGGTAGAATAATGCAACTATATTTGACTAAGCTAGTTATTTTATTGAATTTTACATCTGTAACTTGATGTAGGGTAAGAAATTCATTGCTGAAGTTTTTAATTTTCAACTACATCATTCAATCGAAGAATAGGAAATGATTTACATTTACCAATTCTGAGAAACCTGAAACCAGCTGCATCTTTTTTTCTTCGAGTTGATTTTAGCTGTGGTTATCATCTCTGGAAAAGCATAGGTAACATATAAGCAAACGTTTACATGATTTTTCATTGTGTATCCTAAGAAAATTAATGTAAAATTTGCAACCTAACAGAGAGAGAGCACATTTTTCTCGCATGACTAAATTAACAAAGAATATCCAATAGACGAGCTATTTTTTGAAGGAAGTAGAAAGAAAAAAGTCAAGCGATGAAATTAAGTACATTCAATTTGTGGTAGAGTATTCACATTGCACTGATCACCACAAACTATATCTAGATATTCCTTAGTAGAGTACTGCTTTGGTGTAAATTGTTCCTCATCGTAACTTGAATATCTGTCAAGTAGGTAAGTTGGCGGTCATTTACTTTTTATTTGCGGGTAACTAGGCTCCAGTCGTCTAATAGCAATTGAGGATCGATCATGAGCAAAGACAGTTAAAAGTGAACAACTGCCAACTTGTCGGATACAAGTTCTAGTCTTCGGTTCAACTCGAAAAGGATTTTGATTTCCACTTGTAAATGTTATGCTTTATAATACTTGAAAAAACTAGAATAAATTACCTATAATCTAAAATACTGTGGGCATTCATTGCTTAATTTTGGTGTTTGAAGACATACTAAAGGAGAGAGAGAACAAGGATGGAAGATCCTTGCGCTTAACACCGTTTGAAAGCCGAGGTGTTGGACTCAGAAATTGAATAAATTTTAGGTAACGGAAGAATAAGAATAATAAATGATAGTAACATAATGGTGTGTTAAAAAGCCGTGTCACATTATAACAGCTCTAGTATAACTAGTATTTAGACCTAATTGCTTTTGATGCTTAATAGTAAGGTGACGTTGAAAACTTGTTAATTTGATGACTTAAATGATACCTGCTTACTTTGTAGTTGGTAGGGGTTTGTGAAAAGAAAAAACTGAAAAATACGCATCAAAGAAATACATAATGTTAAATTAGTGAGGAAAGTTTCCTGCCATAAGATCGTAAAATGTGAAGCATGATTAGTAGTAACTAACGGAGGACAAGACCAAAGGCCATGCCAAGGGCAAAGCCAGCCATGAAAGAAGCAAGGAATACATGAATTTCATCAAACATGAATGGCTCCTCCTCATCTAGCACTGTTCTGTAGAACCATTTTTTTGCTTTCCGCTCCTTTTTCTTCAGAAGTTCCTCTGCCTTATCCAGCTTTCGATCGACTAATCTCTCAACCTGAAAAACAGAAGAACGAAAAATTCCAGATTATAGTTTCTCTGAGCTAGGAGAAAACAAAGCAATAAAGATTCTGTTTATGGAACATTTTAACTGGTTTTAATGGAAAGGAATCAAGAGCTCAAATCGGATAGTCTGCTAATTAGTCGGTGATGAGCAGAATTCTTCATCACAAGTATTGTAAAATTCTGTCAAATGCAAATTCAAGAGCAGATCTCTTCTCCTTGAGAATTTTGTTGCCTTTCTTTCAAATGGAGATCTCCGTTGAGATAAAATTTTGTGCATCTCCATTAAAAATGTTTTATTTCCAATTTAAAATTTAAGGCTTTAGTTTGAAGTTTAACTCTTGAATGTGTTTTTCTTACCATGAAATTGTAATACAGATAAAAGACTTCGATACCTGTATCATTGCAAATTGAAGAAAAAAGGTATAAGAGATTTTTACTTTGAAATCGGATTGAATTACAATACCCATTGTAATTTTGACAGAAACCGTAGGTAAGAGGTTCGAACTTTTTTAGCTCAATGAGTCAAGGCAAGGAAGATGGACTGGACAGTGTAGAGTAAAAAGGAATAAAGTTAAATCAAGACAAAACTGGGGAAGGCCATTTAATGTTCCAATAATATTTCCGATAATATGTCAAATATTTTCTTTCCCTTCTACCTGTAAAAACCGTGGACAGCTTGGGAAAATGTGTTTAAAGTTTTTGTTAGGACTCAAAATAAAAGAGGAATTTTAGAACCCATAATAATGATACTCTTGTCTTAATTCTTTGTCCAAGATGGAACGTAATTCCTTTCTACTTAACATCATCCAATTTTTAGTATCTGTTACTGTCTAATTATTGGCAGCCAACGAAATTTGGAAGTGGACTCAAAATTCAACCTTTTGTTTTTAACGTCCATTAGTGCTTTCCTGCTGATTTATTCCAATTAGTGCCTAAAAAACGAAATGTTTATCCTTAAATCCAATGACCTCTCTCAGTGTTACCACTTATTCCATTTAAATTATGAGGTGATCCCAAAAAAATTTTCGAAGCCAAGAAACTAAAATCTTTAAACGTTCTTTGCCTCACCATCAATTGAACTACGCCTTTAATGAGTGAAAGGTTTATCATGTCTTCTATCAGCAATCAATTGAAAAGGGATGCAGATAATTCTTAAAACAGTTGGAAAACCGTGTCAAAAGAAGTTCCTGTTCGAAGAAGGAATCTTTTTCATAGCAGTCTTTTACAAATCATTCGCAAATGTGATGATTAGCGAGAGTACAAATCATAAAATATGTTTTCATGTTTTGATTTTTATTTCAGGCTTTTGCACTTTGACAAGAAAACCTTGGAAGAGAGGAGTGACAGAGTAGACCCTTCAATGCATACAAAAAGACGATTGTATTACCAGACAACTAAATTTATTTCTGAGTATCCAAAACAACTTAGGAAGTGCAAGTACATCATCACACATAAATTTTAGAGCAGTTAAATAATTATTAAAAACGAAAAAAAAAGAAGTCTTATTTGACTAAATATGTATATTCTCAACTGAATAATAGCTTTGGTAAAAAAAATCGGAAACTTCTAGGTTGTAGAATGAAAGAATATCATTACAAGATTATAAGGAAGAAAAATGAAAATGTTTCTGCCAAAAAAGAACCTGCACACAAATTTTCCTGTCGCTGACTGCGATCAAGGTACATTTTGGACTTATTATTGAAACGGAAAGAAAAAAAAAGAATAAAAAATCACAGAACATAGCTCCGTTCCTGTTGCTATTAAATGTTTGGTTTTTTTAAAATTAGTATAAAACTTTCAAGTCAAAATATTTCTAGTGATGTGAGGGGTTCATGATTCCTAATTGACACTCAGGTATACTTATAAAATGACTACTGTAGATAGCTTTTTTTACACAAATAGCATTAATAAATAAAAGACAATGTACAGAAAAGAATAAAGGTAACAAAACATTATTAAAGGACTGCAAATAATAAGCAGTATAAAATTAGTAAAAAAGTTCTCTTGTTTTACGAGATGGATTACAAAGTTGTGGCTTTTGTGCATTAGAGCTCTGTCTTAAAGCATACAAAGAAAAAAGATTTGCATCAGAGACACAAGATGGGAACGCCAATTAAAGCTGCGTAAGTATTTTTGTCCCCACACTGGCTGGTTCAGAGCTGCAACATACCCTGTTTGTACCTCAGCCCTAGACTGGCAGGTATGCGAACCAAAAAGTTTAGGTAACGCCAACTAACCTACCCGTCTTGTGTCTCAGACTAAACCACACTTTTTTTAACTATTCTAAGACCTACACTTAAAATGGTCTGAGTTTAATGAAAATGCACCAAGTTTTTTTGGAAGCAAGAGGTATGCTCGTTGGCTAGTGAGCAGAATTCTCTATCAGAGTGATGCACTTGATTCCTCTCTATGAATTCAGGTTCAGACATTGATGAATTTGCAGATGAAGTAACCATGGAACCATGCTATCAAAAACACTAATAAAAATAAAATACCTCTTACAGCAAATATAGCAAACAGTTGCTTGGAAAGAAACAAATAAACATGATGGGGTTGATCTGAATCAAACATTTCTGGATGAAAATGTTTTTTATAAGATTTCCGTGTCATTCTGCCAAACAATTCTAACGAGTAAACTTCTTGTTTCCGGAAAAAATTGGTACACTTCGGTTTAACTCCGTTTCAATGTTATCAATATTTAGCAAAACAATCCATTAATTCATCAGTAGAACTCCTATTAAGATTAAGGGCTTTCATTTTTCCAATCTTAAGGAGAACAAACTTAAATAGATAAAAATATTATTCACTGGTTTCATAAGAAGAAACCTTTAAAGAGAAGAAGAGTTTTCTGAAGAATGGGGTTTATCATAAATCAAAATTTTAGAATTTGAAATATTTAAAATAATGCTTGGTCTGACGTGCTCTGCCAAGACACAGAAACCATGATTTGTCTGTGTGCCTCCCAAGTTGCATGCTGATCATATGGAACCATATTGATCAACATTTTTTGGAGGAGCTCTTGGTCCTGGCCAAGATTCATTTTTTTAAGCCAAGCTACTAATAGGCAGCTCTTATGACCCCTGGCTTGTCATTTAACTGCGCCAATCGAGATCAATCATTATGATGAATTTATAGGAGCGAAAAAAGCAGTTGGCAGAGAACGTGCTTGCAGCAACAGGAGAGACTTTGATAATCACATAACTTCCACCCTAGCCAAGACTGAAAAAGATTCGAAAGCCTCTTTTTTAAGTTTAGGGTGGAAACAAAATTTAAAAATGAAACTTAATGATAATATGATATAGGTCTGCAAGGCAAGGAACTTTTTTTGCGCCGTATGGAAGCTACTTGCTAACGATGTGACCAAAAGATAAGAACCATGAGTAGCATTATCTATGACAGGGCAATACCGATTAAGAAGCCTGAAACATAACCTGTTGCAGCATAAGAGTTATTCTGGGCAAAGCGACTCACCTGCAAACAAACAAACAAAATAAAATAATACAGTAAGTAAAAAATAAAGGAAACAGTTTCTTTTTTTGTTTTTTTTAAAGCAATTATGCATTTTAAAATTTGAATGAATTTTTAGATAATATTTAGAGACAAGCCCTTAACTGCAAGGACTTAAGTAAGGTCCTCTTCCTTTTAATACAGTATAACTTCCCGATTGGATACTATGAGTACCTACCAATTAAATGACCAGAGATCCAGATTTTTAGCATAAAGACGTTTCATCAGAATTGAAGATGCTATCATATAATGAAATCTTCTATAAAGAAGCCTTGAATTTTTCAAAAACAGCATCTGACGTTTTTTGTCGAGAGACTAGGTAAGTCAAAAGACAGGGAAAATTCAGCTTAATCCATAAAACACCTAATTCTCGTCATTCAATGTTATTCCAGTATTCAGAAGTGCCGACATTCCAAAGACTCAGCAGCTTTTACAGAATAATTCGTATTTCGCTCTCTTTGAGGATTGCAAAAGTTGCAGATACATTTCGCAAAAATCGATGCCAGAGTGGGCGATTGATAAAAGAGCGAATATCCCTCGATAAAAGGGGATTAATCTTAAAAATAAAGCAAAAATACAAAAACGCGACGAGACGGGAGGTAACCAATGAAGGTAGCGCCAGCTAGCGCAGCAGTCTCGGGTGAAATTTGAATAGCCCGCCAACAGTTAAGAGACGAATCTGACACTGTCATTGGTTGGATACTAATCTTCAGTTTTCAGGTGTGTAACCTAATAGCACCTTTGCGAGAAAGCGATCTGTTTTAAATATGCTTCGAAAGCAGATAAATTGCGCCTATTTGGTTGAAAATAGATTTGGAGCGGTCTCAAAGTAATACATAAAGGAAAGAAGGGATAACAATGAAATATAAGGAATCTTGGAAGAACACAAAAGCTCACGATTTTACATGCAATTGGAAATGGGGTTGGCACTACACCCAAACAGCTGAAAAGTGTCAAATGACATCATAACCTATTTTGAATACAAACCACTTGACAACAAATCTTGAGCGGTGGCAATGTTGTGAAAAAAACTTGTGTTAATTAGAATCTAGCGGTCCGTGAACGGTCAAATTTGAAATTTAATGCGGTTCCGTTTCGTTACTGATATCTGTCAGAGGTTTATTAGGACAATGGCTAACGCAGAGAGGCCAAAAGTTGTGTTCGTCCTTGGAGGCCCAGGAGCAGGAAAAGGAACGCAATGTGATAATATTGTACGGGAGTTCGGCTTCGTTCATCTATCGGCAGGAGACCTGCTCCGTGAAGAGAGAAATACTCCCGGATCCCAGTACGGTGAGCTAATAGACCAGCGAATCAAGGATGGCCTCATTGTGCCTGTTGAGATTACGTGCAAACTCTTGGTCACAGCCATGGAGAAGTCTGGCAAGAATAAGTTCCTGATCGACGGGTTCCCCAGGAATAAGGATAACTTGGATGGATGGAACAAGGAAATGGGTGAAAAAGTGGAGCTATTGTTCGTGTTATTTTTTGACTGTCCGCTTGACGTATGTATTCAGCGGTGCCTCAAGCGTGGAGCTGCAGGAAGCGGGCGCACTGACGACAATGAGGAAAGTTTGAAAAAACGAATAAATACCTACAACAATGATTCTCTGCCCATTATTAAACATTTTGAGGCTCAGAATTTGGTTCGTAGGATTGAGGCTGATAAGTCTCCAGATGATGTTTTCACGGAAGTTAAAACTTTGTTCCAAAACGTATGACCTTCCTAAGCGTGTTATATTTTCCTACTTAAGACATGAACTTTTTGTTGTACTGTTAGACTTTAACAATTTTATGTAAATACTGAAATGAACTCCAAGAGTGAACAATGGCTAATGATTAGATGCATACGTATCTCCTAGAGGTACAAACTTTAGCTCGTTTAAAGCTGGGTTGATTTGCAGTAAAAATGGAATTTTTCAAATCCTAAAGTTTTCTTTGCAAATGAAAAGGAACCTAGTTTTCATTGAAACTGAAGTTGTTAATACCTACCGTTGATTAGATCTGTAATCTATTCATGAATGAATATTTGTGTGGCATTTATACCTAAGTAATTTAAGTGCAAGAGGATCATTGTTTGTTTCCTTCTCACGTATAGGGTTGGGATTGTTTAGTTTTTAGATTGATATAATAGAAGCAGAGAGCTCCTTTTAGACTAAGCAAAGGCTAATTTACAGTTCTTTCCGTTTGTTGCTGATTCGCTTCTTTATTTCTTCTTTTTTTTCGGCAGTAATTTTGTGATTTTTAAGAAGAGTGTGTTAAAAGACTTCGAATACCAGATTTAAGAGAGAGAGCTAAGTTTTCAACTCTTTGTTGACCCAAAATTATTTTTTGAAGGTTTTCATTATTAAAATATGAGGTTTGTCATAATAATAATTCGAAAGTAGACGTAAGTTTAAATTAATTGTGATAATTATTGTAATTTTATAAATACATCTAAACTGCGTAAACTTTTAAGATTTCGTTTTTCATCCAGAATGATTTGACATCGACCAATGGGCATAAAATATTACGTAACATAACTTGACTCCAAAATGGCTTGCCATGAAAAATGTAAGGCAACCAGGGAAACCATCAAAGGCAATTATTTTACCATCTTTGGGAATTAAAGCTTAAAAGTATGATGCATAGTTATATTCTTTGATCATTCACTAGGTAGTATTTAATGAGAAAAATAGACAAACAAATCTAAGTACCTAAGACTTCATAGAAATTGCATTAAAATTTTTTTTAAAAAAATTACAAAATATATTCTCAGATGATCAATATTTTAATTGGTATTTTGTTAAAAAATCAAACTGTTGAGTGGATTATGAAATTTCCGAATACAGTCAGTAACCTATTATAGGTACTTTGCAACTTTGTGATCATAAATAAAAATTTAAAGTTTTAAGACCCTGATAAAAATTACCAGTAGAACTATGTCAAAATGTCAGTTAAGCGGTTGAACTTTCTACTAATCTTAGCCGATATCGAGTCTTCACTGACATCTGTGAAAAGTAAAACTAATAAGTGGCAGTTCAAAACTTTATTACTTGTCATATTTGTCAGGGTTTACATGGGGACTGCAGAGAGAGGGAAATTTTCCAGGAATCTTTATTAAAAAGTAAAATGGCAATTTTAAGAATTTTCAAAAAACATGTAAGCTTATTCTCAGTCGGCAAAATTGGAAAATACTTCCCATTATCTTCAGTGCTAAAAAATTAGTATGGTTCCATAGCACAAAGTTTGATAAAAACTCATTACCTAAAAACCAGGGTGTATCAGGGAATTCTTAACAAAATGAGCTCATCAAAGCTGCACCAGAAAGCTTTTTAAATGATCTTTAGACTCTTACCCCACCGTTTTTTCACTCATACTTACTCATACGCTCAGATTTATCTGCTAGTGTAAAGACTATTGAGATGTCTTATTCTTATACAAGTTATTCTCTGATTGAAAAATAAATTTGAAGAGTTAGGAGTTCTACTCATCTGGGGACTTGAATTACTCAAAAGCCCGATTACTCTTGATTCCTCCTCTAAAGTTTGAGCGTTGATTTTACTTCAGAATCATACTTTCATTGCATTTTTACAATGAGAGATATCATTATTAATCCTCTGCCCACTGAGAAATCATAATGGAACAGATTATATCATTCTGAATTTTTGTTGAGAGGGAGGATTGAGCAAATGAACTAGGTGGGGATAAAAACTTAAGGAGCATAAAATCCTTTAGGATGAAGAAAAGCAATTTTCCTTAACTTCTTCTATAAAAATGTGGAAAACATAAAGGTGGGTAAAGCTGACTGGGTAATTTGCATTACACTGAAGAATGCGATTATTTTGAAAAATTACCCGAGTTCCTCTTAAATCAAGTTGGTTTGAAGAAAGGAATGTCTCAGAGGTGTAAGTACTGTGTGCCAGAGGTCGCATGGTTATTTACAAGAGAGGCAAGCCAACTGAATTTTCATTTGCTTTCATTGACTGAAATTTCCATGAAATATTCTTGAAGCAGAGATGAAAATCACAAAAAAATGTATGTTACTTAATTGCTGTGATTATAATTTCTGATAAAAATTAAACTCATGGGGAAACTTGGACCTTCGAAGCCCAAAATAGGTAAAGTTTCCAAATTTAGGCATTTGAATGGCATGTGAAGAATAAGGAATTTTACCCAAGTTTAGGTTAAAACTTGAGTAAAATTCCATAAAGTACTAGTGGCAAAACATGCATGCAGGCTGCGATGAACAAAAAACTGGAGGAATCTACTCACCTTATCTAAAAATTTGGGTCCTTTGGAAGTGGATTGTTGTTCAATCCTGCTGCCTACTTCTTCTGCTTGTTTGAAAACTTTGTCCCAGTTGATTTTGACATAGCCACTATGGTTGGCTACTTGCAAGAGAATTATTCCACCACCAACTGCCAGCGCAGCAACCTTTCCAACTTTCATCATCAGGTAGCCAGTCATCCTATGATCACAGTTTTGCACCGGATAAAATTAGGTAAACTAAATATTGTTCAAAGATTACTCACTAACATTACTCATTCCAAAATTTTACAGACAAGAAATTTCCCTGATAGGAAAACGCATCTTTACTGCGATAAAGAAACAGGATGATGAAAAATATTGGTTTTGACTGTTCTGTGGTAAGCAAAAGGAGGGTATGAAGGTTCAGAAAAGGCGCACATGGATTGAGATTCCTGCACAATTGCCCACAAAAGGATACGTATAAGTTTCCTACAAATCAAACAATCTTTAGAAGCTCGGCATTTACGTTAGTCCTAAGAACGCATATTTGATCAAATATTTATCGCTACTTTTACTCTTGAGTTAGATCCTTGTATAGATTCACAACTAGAGTTCAGTACTCATGCGAACATATTTGCAGACAAACACAGCAAAAGCCTTTATGACAGTCAAATATGAAGGGTGGCAGTAATATTCTTGGGATTACGTCATGCTTGATTAAAACCTATTTTAACTTTAATATGAACTTGGGATCACTTATTTCGCCAAAATGGGCAATCTTCAGCATTAAAGGGTTTAGTTGTCATCAAGTCTTTGTCTACGGCGATACAAAGGCCCTGCTTTGGGGCTAAGTTTTTGCTTGACTTGGTTTTAAGAGACACTGAGAGCACAAAGAATCGACTAATCAAAGATAGTGCGAAAAGGGAAGGTGAACAAGGGCTGTGATTCTACACAACTTACCATCCTGATGCACCGCCAATCAAGAGTTGTTTCGAGGCAGAGGATTTACCTACATCTTTGATCACTTTATCGATGAGATTTTTGGCTTCAGCAGAGACATCATCTATATTTAAAGTTTCATCACTATCTGCTGAGGAAGCTCCAGATCGATTCCTTACACTGGATGACGACATTTTTCGCGATCTGTGAAACTTGGCAGTTAATGATTTCCAAATATTAGTCAGCGTTAATTAGTTCACGGAGCGTAAATTTTCTCGCTAATGAAGGAACACTTTAAAAAAACAAAAAATCACTATTTTAACGAGGATTTTGAGTGTGAATCGAAATTTTTCAGCAGTGCTAGGTCAAAAAAGTTCTCATTACAAACAAAAACAAATGTAGGGTAGGTTAGAAAACTTATGAATGAAAAATTTCTCTCTATACAAAGTTGAGCAGAACTTTTTGAACGATTTAAAAGGATTTTAATGGTGATTTGATACAATGGTTTTTCAGATTTTTTTTTTTTTAAAACATGAGTAGTTGTTGAAATTAGAAAAATAAAGTTTAAGATTGAAGTTACGAAGCTGAATACTTGCTGCAATATAAAAGAATATTTGTCAAGTTGCAAACTGGACGGTAACGTTTTGAACCAGTGCAGTGCTGCGATCTTTCAACGAAAATGACGAACTACTTACAATAAATAACACACAATTTACCCAGTCGCACATGGTATGTGAGCATGTTTTTATGGCATTTCTCTCACAAAAAATTAATGTTACCTTGTATGGACTCAAAGGACCCCTTACTTCATCCATGCCAATAATAACGTGGGCGGACTAGCACCAAAAAATATAAGAGGCGATCACGATTTCGGGACCCTTCAATGGGGGGTCTAAGGGACTTCCCTCAAAAATAGGGCCCCCCCCCCCGGCTCCTGGTGTCCTCCCCCGAATAATTTTCGAAAATTATGTACCCCAAATGGCTCAATTTTTGGTTGCTTCTAAATTACCTAAAGTATCGTCTTTTTCTCCTGTTACTTTGGTATTCCAAGGGGAAGGTAGGGTAACTCGTCATTATCCTCGGGTTAGCCCCTCATAAAAGGGAGAGGTTTATTTCCTCTGTAAGACAGTCAAAAAAGGTTACATACAAGACGTTGCCCTTAAATTTCTTCCAGCACCTATGTAAAAATTGTTCCAAAAAAAATTAAAGATAAACTTTGGAGCGTGGCCGCCCCCTTCCGCCTTCCTCCTCTTACACGCACCGCCGCCACTGTTTAAATGTTAGCTGTGAGAGTCGTCAAAAACCTGGCATCCCGCATTATACCGCTGAATTTCCTCCATTTTTAGATTGTTGGGCCCCCCGTCTTTTGGTTTGGAGCCTTGAGAACGATTATTCTAATTCAAATTAGCGAGCCTTGCAGTGGCTTCAGCGGGTTTATTCTACTCTCACATTCTTTCTCACTCGCGTCGATCAGTTCGCCTTCAATATCTCGCTAGGCAATGTGAGCGGCCTGTGAGCAGTATTAGTTGCTCGCAGCATTATTTGCCCATGTTCACTCGGTTTATTCGTGGCTGGGATGGTTTAATAATGTTACTTCCCGTTATTACCTGTCTTTTCTTTGCTCGATTGCAAATACCTTGCTTTACCTGCTACTAAAGCAGTAGAAATTGCAATAAATTGCCATTACATTTGAAACCATGGGATTCCGTTCGTCTCTTTAAGATGTCATTTTACGAAAAGGAACTAAAATTTCTGATCAATCCGTAAAAGTAACTATCTGCGCAGAGATACTAATGGTACATGAGTTTTTTTCATAAATGAGCCAAAAATTGTAGTTTCTTATTGCAAAATTGTGTCCTGTTAATTTCATGCAGGTCCAGGACCTACAGGACCTGAGGTCCTGATGAAACCTCCATTTACGTACATGGGAGTTTTGATGCCTGAGGAGGGTGAGGCTCTACCATCGCGTCGATTTTGAGAATTTAGGGGCCCCTCTGGCAAAAATGAATGTTTTAAATTTAAATCTCCCTTGGGGGACTCGCACATACCGCTGATTGCAGCTTCCCATTTTAAGACCGTGGGGGCCCTTTCATTCGCCCTGATGTTTCGCAGAACGTGTTTATATTATTATATATTACTGAATGTTACTGTTAGATACCTTCAGGCCCGCCACATCCAACCTCGGGCCCTGGTACCAGTTTTAAGGTCCGGGCCCCAAGCACGGAGGGGGGGAGGGGTCCGAGGGGCATCCCCCAAGAAATTTTAGAATTTATACGACTACTCGGACGCATTTTGAAGCTTCCCTAAAGAATTTTCCATCAATTTCCGCGGAATAATTATGTTTTTTTTCTACTTTCAGCACAAAATACTTGCGAATTGTTGCATTAAAAACATCTGGAAAATTTTTATTTTTTTTTGGGGGGGGGGTATATGATACTATTTTCAGTTCTATGAGGGCCAGGCCCCCCAGAGCTCCCCCTTCGTTTGTCTATGGCAAGGGAAATTGAGCCACGAGCCATTGAAGTCGAGGATGCCCAGACTGGAGACTCTTAGCATCTAACGACGGAAGAAAATGAAACAGAGTTACTAAAAATATCCCTCTGTACCAAAAATCTTGAAAATAGATAGAATTTTTCCAAGAAGTATACTTATTTGAAAATTTAAGAAGAATTCTACAGTGTCCCAGCGTGTTTCAGAAAATCTATTCACCTTTTGCGAAATTTTTAGGGTAAATTTTTCACTTCTTCTTACGAAACAAGGGTTGCATGTGAATTCGTAGTGGTTTTTCACGGGTAACACGGGCCCCCTCCGGGGACCAAGCCCCGGTACCAAGGACCCAGTGTCCCTCCTTTGTGGCGGGCCTTTCTTCATGCACGCTGGGCTTGTCGATTTCCTTTGACATTTTTGGAGTTGTGAATGCATAGCTGAAGTGCGCTTCAGCTAGAATTGTATTTACAAATGGGTGGTTTTTCTACGAGGATTAAAAATAAACAAGTGGCACGGAATATAACAAAAGAATATGAGCTGTGCAAAACGATAATCCGGGTATCGGAACTTGGCTGATTTGAAAACGCCTTCAAATGCGGCGTGATACCTCACGCATTCCGGAGAGTTCAAATAGTTGTATCATTGCGCCGTAAGAATATGACGGAAGATTTAAATGGAGATAGCCTCCATGCACGCTGGGCGTGTCGATTTCCGTTAACATGTTTGCAGTCATGAATGCGCTTAAGTGCGCTTCAGCTAGAATTGTATTTAGCAAATGGGTGGTTTAATAGGAGGATTATAACTTAACAAGTGATTAGAAATCGAAACAAAATAATATGAACTTTGCAAAACGATTATTCCGATAACGGAACTTGGGTGTTTTGAAAACGCCTTCAAATGCGGCGTGATACGTCACGCATTCCGGAGAGTTCAAATAGTTGTATCATTGCGCCGTAAGAATGTGACGGAAGATTTAAATGGAACTAGCCTCCATGCAGGCTCGCCACATCCCATCTCGAGCCCTGGTACCAGTTTTAAGTTCCGGGCCCCAAGCACGGAGGGGGGGGGGGTCCGAGGGGCATCTCCCGAGACATTTTAGAATTTATACGACTACTCGGACGCATTTGAAGCTTCCCTAAAGAATTTTCTATCAATTTCTGCGGAATAATTATGTTTTTTTTTCTACTTTCAGCACAAAATACTTGCGAATTGTTGCATTTAAAACATCTGGAAAATTTTTATTTTATTTTTTTTTTTTTGGGGGGGGGACATATGATACTATTTTCAGTTCTATGAGGGCCAGGCCCCCCAGGGCTCCCCCTTCGTTTGTCTATCGCAATGGAGTTAAGCCACGAACCATTGAAGTCGAGGATGCCCAGACTGGAGACTCTTAACATCTGACGACGGAAGAAAATGAAACGCAGTCACTAAAAATATCCCTCTGTACTGAAAATCTTGAAAATAGATAGAAGTTTTCCATAAAGTATGCTTCTTTGAAAATTTAAGAAGAATTCTACAGTGTCCTAGCGTGTTTCAGAAAATCTATTCACCTTTTGCGAAATTTTTAGGGTAAATTTTTCACTTTTTCTTACGGAACAAGGGTTGCATGTGAATTCGTAGTGGTTTTTCACGGGTAACACGGGCCCCCTCCGGGGCCCGGTCCCAATACCAGGGACCCAGTATCCCCCCCTTGTGGCAGGCCTGGATACCTTGGGACCCCTTCGTTGCTTTTGAGGCTCCAAAGATACAGATGACACTTCAACAAATTTTAGTTTATAGTCCGTCACACTTGGTCGTTGATAAACATTTTTCAACGTTTCGACCGTGGTACTCGGGTATTTTCCCTGAATTCTTCCTCGTAGCTATGCTGGAGTCTGTTGATCCTCTTAAATGAAGTGCTTTTTGTGTCCCCTTCATACTCCTGGTTGATGCTGTGCTCCTCTATACTTCCCTTCCCCGAAAAGATCCTGTAGTTGCGCACATATGTCGATGTTTACCAAATCTCATCAATTCGATGACTGAGTCTAAGTTGCGGTGATTGATGAAAGCATACTTATCGCTAGGAATAAAATCCCCGAGCCGCGAATTTTAGAAATTTCTAAACAACTTCTATCCTGTCACCCCACTTTATCTCATAAAAACCTTCAATCGTCACCTTCCGGCCAGAGCGCCACAGGTGCCTTGCGACGTTTCAAAATTTCCGGTGCCTTTTTATTTTTTTTTTTTTTTACAGAAACATTGTTGGTTGAATCTGTTCGAAAATGTCACTGAATTTCATCGATAGCACGAAGAAAATTTAGTGAAATTTTTGGACAGCTCCGTCGAACAATTTATCTGTAAAAAAATAAAATGGCGGCGGAAATTTCTTAACCTTGTATGGCGCTTGTGATACTTTGGCCGGGAGTTGATGAAGTATACTCGTGCTTCGCTCACCGCGAAATATGAGATGCGCGGATTGCAATGGACACACCTCGGTTGACAACGTCACTGACAAACCCTCGGATGCAACTATTCGTGTCTCGCGGATGTCCGAGTTGCCTACTCAAAAAATGAAGGCGCTCTCACTTCGCTCACACGTCCGGTAACATTCGCACCCAGAGACAAGAGACCATCCACTCGCATCTCGGCAATGGCGGAAGATTTTACTCTCGGGACTTCAACATTAAAGTGTTGACTGTTACCTAAATGGTTAATGTTTAACAACGTATTGACATTTTCTTTTTGCAGACAAGCCGAAGTTTGGGATAGATACTTGTTTGGCTCATGACGTCCCCCATAGCTCATCATCCACCATGTAGGTAGGTCAACAACCGAAAAAAGAGTGGTGACTGTTGCTCCCTTATAATTGTCCGTAAGGAGCTGTTGAGTCCCTGAAAGTAACAGCCTCCGCTTGTCCCCAAGGGGCTCAGGACGTTGCATCCACCTACGATGTTTCCACCCAACCGTTAGGTTAGGTTAGGTTCAAGGCCGGATTTAGGGGGTGGCCACATGGGCCGTGGCCCATGGCGGCAAATTTAGGGGGCGGCAAATGTTGTAATCTTTTCAAATGTAGGTATCAAGAAAAAAATCTTATTCAGAAAAAAAATTACAGATGAGAAAAGGCGAAAAAATCTCTCATTTCCTGAGAGTTAAAGTATAGTAATTTCTAATTTGTTCGTCTTTCGGTGATACAAGAGACAGCGCCTTTCATCAGTCTAGTTGAGAGAGAAACCAAACAAGCAATTTGGCCTGGAGCGGCGCGGCGCGGCGCTGAGCAATGATGACGAGAACTTGAGATGGAAAGGAGAAGCCCTATCGGCGCACCGGTCAGTATTAAACACATATTAGCGCCTACAAGACTCCATGAATACTTCACGCATTGCGTCAAACGTAGTGCGGTCAGCAGCGGTTGGCGTGAACCTCATAGTGCCTTCAAGACTGCATGAATACTTCACGCATTGCGTCAAAAACAGTGCGATCACTCGGTCAGCAGCGGTCAGCGTGAAACGCATAGCGCCTACAAGACTGTAGGGATACTTCACGCATTGCGCCAAACACAGTGCGGTTGGCGCGGTGGCGGAAATCAAAAGCATTAGACCACATTCATGTTTATTCTTATTCATAATTTTTTCGTTCTTTCCTTATAAATGAAAGGTATCGTGCGCACAGAAATATGTTTAACTTAGGAACTTAATTTTCGCGCAAAGTTCCGTGAACTTTAGCTAGTGTTGACAGGGCTTTCACAAAAAATGTGCCCAACGCGAGTAAACGCGTCGTATGTACCCCTCCTCCTCCGGCACGTTCACTTGATTGTGTGTATGGATGTTTCAAAACGAATGAGAAGGGGCGGCAAAATACAGGTGACTCATGAGCGGCAACTTATGCGAGTAAATCATGAGCGGGTAAATCCAGCCCTGATCGGAACCCTATATTGCCCCAGTATATTCCAGAAAATTACTCAATTAACAAAGAGATCCTGTATTGAAATTATATATCATGGTGAAGCATCTAGTTTTCGCTAATTTTATCATAAACATCATAATTTAATCTAATTTTTTGGGGAAAGCGCAGCTTCCTTCGTGCACATCCAGAAAATGTATTTAGTTTGTTCCAAAAATCATATTCTAAAACCTCAGGTAACATCGAAAATACAGTTTTTGGTTTAAAAAATGTTTTTTGTTTAAAAATGCCCATGGGCGGCAAGAAGGTAAATCCGGCCCTGGTTAGGTTAGGTTAGGTTTGGTTAGGTCAGGTTAGGTTAGGTTAGATTAGATTAGGTTAAGTAGGTTAGGTTAGATTAGGTTTGGTTAGGTTAGGTTAGGTTAGGTTAGGTTAAGTTAGATTAGTTTAAGTAGGTTAGGTTAGATTAGGTTAGTTTAGGTTAGGTTAGGTTAGGTTAGGTTAGGTTAGGTTAGATTAGGTTAGGTTAGGTTAGGTTAGAGAGGTTAGATAAGGGTGGATGCATCGCAGGGGGATGCAAAGTCACGCACCCGTCGCCAAGAGGCCAGTGAAGGGTCTCTTGTCTCTGGCTAAAATTTAAGAGTTCTTGCTTTGAGAGTGACGTCAGTGGGTACAACTCTTTAGCTCTGAATCACCCTCTCTCATTTTTTCGTATGGTCGCGCCCACTCTCACTCTTTCTCCCGCTGGTGCCGGCGTCTGTCCGGAGTAGTCGCGGCGATCTCTAAACGACCCGCGGACCTCGCACAGTCCGCACCGCGCGCACGCCAGACCCAGTCACCCGTAACATCGAGTAATGTGTCCCTCCAGCCGCGCCAGTCAACTCCGTACCTCCCGCGTCTTCCTCCAACCCCAGTCCGCAGCATCATCGTATACTCAACCCAAATAATCGCTGTACTCTCGCAAATCATCAAACCACCCATATTCCCCGTAGTGGAACCTTAAAATAAAACTCTCGAAGCCCGAACGAGGTGTTAATTTTGACCTGACAAGGTTTTTTTGTTTTTGTTTTTTTTCTGAGGATTTTTGAAAGCGTCTTGTGGCCAGTGACCCACTTTTTTTTTAATCATTTTTCCGAGATGTGCTGTCTCCGACGTTCCTGATTCCTCCCCCCCGCCCATCCGCGCATCTGCACGCGAATCAGTATTCCGGTGTGATCTGTGAAGTGAAGTGGAACGCTCGTCAAAATGGATGTAGAGTTCAGAGACCTGACTTTTAAGATTCACAAAAAATGGTACAAAAGAGGTAAGAGACGTTCATTACGAAATTTGTCCTCTTTTTCACGTTTAATGATTGTGTCTAAGTAATTTCGTTGCGCCAGTGGACGATAAAAATTCATGCCATGAACGATATTATATCGAAGAAATTCCATCAAGAATGCTAAGCACTTATGTAAATTCTTAGTTTTTGGGTTTTTTTTATTTATTTATACATCCGTTCTTTTCTTTCCTATTGAAATTTCCCTTTATGAATTTTTTTTTTTTTTTTTTTTTTTTTTTTTTTTTTTTTTTTTTTTTTGTCTCTGAGCAATTTTCTCGTATTGCACTGTATTTTTTTAGTAAAAAACAAACTAAAAAAAAAAGAGAGAAAAAAAAGAAATAAGAGACAAGAAGAAAGGGGATTTTTATCAACTGTAGAATTTCATTAAATTTTGGTTCTGGTGCCAAATCCTCAGACGATTAGTCTTCGTTTTAAAAAAAATGCAGGTTTCTAAAAATGCGCATGCCTAGAAGATTTTACCAATACTGGCGGTACATTCATGGAACGCTGGTTGTCAAAGAAGGCATAAAGATACTTAAAACTATCGTGTCATTATTTTGTAGTCATGACTGGCTGAATGCGTTTTTATACGGAGGTTTGCATGCGGATGCTCGGTGAAACTTCGTCTTTTATTCAATATTTTGTAGAGCGTTCCTGAAACGAGATAGGTTCAGTGCTGTGGCGGCAAAATTGTACAGATACCTATTCTGAATCTCTTTGTAATATATCCCCCTGATTTAATGCTGAATTGGATGAACGTAAGCGGTCAGAGGGAAAAGCGATACCTTCGTAAAGTCCGTATAAGTTTTTCCACTCTCTGTCAAACATATGGGACTGTGAATTTTTTTTTGTAATTCATCGTTTCCAGTGCACAAAAACGTCAACCGAGGGTGTGTTGGATATTTTCTACACTTTTTGTGTCACATCATTTTGATTTTGCGTTTTTTCCCCCTCTGATATAAAGTCACTATTGTTTTTAAATGAAATCCATGCTGCATGGAGGATAGCTTTTTGAGTGAAAAAATATTCTGTTTCATTTTGTATTTCTCCTCAAGCAAAAAAAAAAATCTTAACGTGACTGAACACGACGGATGCTTCCTTGCAGGCAATCATGGACGGAATTAGGGGGGGGGGGGGGGGGGAGGGGGGCTGCTCCTCGGAAATCTACTATCTATTGCGTAGGGTCGAATTTGCCATTAGACTGTATAGGCTATAGCTTAAGGGTGCAACACTCTGGGACCGCACCATTGTTCAGAATTCTGAACCATGTTCATAATTTTCGAGTCTCTGATCACTTCTTACTTTTTAAAATTAGATTTTTTCCAGTGTCAAACCATTCGCAACTAAGCATCTAAAAATCGTTTGAAATCGTACTTTCTTAGAGGTGGATTTGAACTAATTCCTATACCTAACACCCTCCTGCTGGTCCAAAAACCTACTTTTCCCCACGATAGTATCTACTTTAAGGGCGCCGCACAAAATTCAGCCTAGGAGTGCTAAAAATGTAAACCCGGCTGGTTTTGATACTCGGGTGCACCTTTCAATACTCAGGTGTAAATAACAGAAATAGCAGATCAACTTTTGGCGGTTCAACAGTCAACGCTGTTATAAGTCCCATTTTCGGTATGTTTTCATTCGTGAACACTTTTGTTGTCATGATGCGCCTGATTTTGCGCGGAGATTCGGTGTGTTTCCGCTGCGGGGTCACGGTCTGCAGTTCATGTTTTGTTGGCGGTTAAGAATCGGTTCAATTTCATTGCCACCTAATTCAGGTCATACTCACGGCACAATTAGATATCGGGCGTATTCGACATTGGTGAGACAACGCGAGGGAGATTTTTAAAAGCCCTCGAATATAATGTACGTTGTATTGCAAAGGAGAACTTTGCGTTACGCCGCGTATTGGTAAACAAAAGTGATAAGCTATCGTTCTGATTTGTATATTGATGCGTACTGTACTCTTTCTTCGTATAATTATACTTAATCTCTCTGCGCTACTGGTTCTTTTTGTCAGATTTTGTTTTGGGTTTAAGCCGTTCGAGTCGATACGTAACATTCCTGTACTATCTTATTGTCGATTTAATCCTCTACCAATTCAAGAGTGAGCATTCCATTAAACTGGCCCTTGAATGGTTCCGTTGATTTGCTCATTAGTGGCGATTCACACGCGATGAAAAGCTCAGAGGATTAGGGGATGATGGCCCTTTGCACTTTGATCAAGGGCCCCTTTTGGCAATATTTAAGGGCCCTTTTTGGCAATTTTCTCGGAGGGCTTTTTAGAGCCTTTTGCACACTGAAGGAACGAACCTGCAATCATCTTTTTGGCACGGCCCGCCTCCTGGGAAATTTGGAGAGAGTCCGATCCTGGGATAAGGTGTTGGCTTTAAATTCACTGAAATTCAACAGCCAAAAAAAATAGACTAGGTGCCAATAAATCCTCGTAAAAATAATGGCATTGGAAAAAAAGTCGCTTGGATCTAGATTTCAGACTCTTGAAAACAATGACAAGAAAAATACTCTTGATTCAATCGGCTTTTCGCTTGAATCAAAAGGAAATCCGCTCAAACTAAAAGACTTAGTTCTCGATTTAAGCAAAAATCCGATTGAATCAAGAGTGCTTTATCTTGTCGATGTTTTTAAGAGTCTGGACTCTAGATCCAAGCTACTTTTTTTTTCCAGTGTGGGGTAGATCCATTATCGATTCCTGATCAGACTCGCTTCTGGGGGTAAATCAGGGTACAATCAGATACATCCAGAGTCCGAGGGTCATCTCTTCAAATTAATCAAATTTCAGTTCGAAGAAGAATAAAATCGTGTATTCAGTGCGTGCTGCGCTGGAGTGACATAACATAGTATGAGTACCGGTGCATAACTGCATATGTGCATATGCATCGGAAACTTATTAGCCAACTCGCGAGACGCGCGATGCAACTTGCGTTTGGCGGTGACGTCCCGGCGTCTAATTTCAATCGCAAATCACTCAAAACTCGCAGCAGTTAGGTTTAGACGCGCATCGCAACAATCGAAGCGATAGCTCGATTCGTATGGCGCGCCTTTGACAGCTTGCAAAAAATCGACATCCAATCGACCTATCGATCGATCAATTGCATTGATTTGCCGATGCCTGGTTGACCTCATCAGTGACCCGCAGCAGCTAGCGGCTCGTCCTAAAATTCAAATCATCGTCGAGCGACATAGAACACCTCATACCTCCGTGCTGCCAAATCTCCGAATTCTCACGCCCCAACAATCGTGAAATTGGATTTTTTTGTGCAGTAGTTGGCATCGCTGTCGCGTTGCAGTCACAGATGATACAACTCACTTGCGATGCATCGCGCACTGTCGGCATCGCGAGTTTTCAAATGGCACACTGCCGAATTTCCAACAGAAGCAAAAAATAAAGTTTAGCCTCTTTGAGAAGACTAAACATTTTCATGGCCTCACCAAGGAATCCGAGTTTTAACAGCTACGTTAGGATAAGTTCGAAATGCATCATAAATGGATTTAAATATTTTTTGGGGGAAAGTCTCCAGGCTTCCTCCACGGTTTCTTTGCGGAGGTGTCTCCAGCACCCTATAGATACACTATCGGAACCTTCCTCTGATTGAGCTTCCCTACGATTGGAAATCGAAGTGTTAGTTAATAAGGCAACATAGTTCTTTACTAGCGCTTGAATACCACTATTTTTACACTCAAGATGCCCGTCTTGCGTGACCTTATAAATGAAGGCGTTTTATCATCAATGCCGTCTCTGAACAACAGTGAGAAAACCGCGCGACAACGCGTATATTTTCTTACAGTTTGCTCTCAGTCATCATTCCGTTTGTTTCAGATATTATTTGCAGAATCATTTATCGATTACCAATCGTTTGATTTGGCTCTATAAGTAAGCATGACATCTTAAGATGCTGATTAACGGGATGGGAATCAAGGATTTCGCCTCTATGCTGCAGCCTCCAGTCTGTCATTGACGCTTATTAAAGTTACTTTGCCAAAGAATGGGTCAAAATAAGTCGGAATACCTAAGACACTCTTATAGAAATTCCGCAGCGATGGAGTAATTAACAAATTCGAAACATTTCTTTGGAAAGTTTCTCCATTCAAAATTTCGCTGAACCTGATGTGACATATTCGAAGAAATAGAGTCTCAAGTCGTTATTTTGCAGTCTTTGGTGAGAGCACAAAGTCAAATGCAAAAACACGAGACTTTAACAGACTGTCACGAACTATAATCATGAAACATTTAGAGTGCATTTTCGCTAAAAAGTTTACAAAATTTTGCCTATGCTCCCGATTACTCCAATTTGACACGAAACAAACTCAAGTTCGTGCGTTGAACCCTGAAACCGTTGTTAAAATTGTAATAACTTGGCCGGGGACAAATATCTCATATCCCTCCCCCCTCCCTCTCTCAGCTGTCGTCGGCTGTTTAAGGCTAACTGGAGTGCTGAAATTTACCACTTCGCAGTGCCATGTCGGAGTGATTTAATCACAAAATAGTGTGTGACTGCGCCTTATAAGACCTCGGGTTTAGGCTCGTAAAATTGCACTAGTGCCGTTGTGAAACGTTCGCTTGTCTTCAAGTTTCAGAGAGCTGCAACTGCAACGGCGACCTCGCGCCTTCACCGACTCTCGGGTCGTCGACTCGAGGTGCGCGCATTCTGTTGCCATATTACCGTAAACTCCAACTTAAAATAGCATCTGGTAAAAAAAAGGGCGGATTTTACCAAAGTCAATTTTATCACATCAGACACTTCCCAATTTTCTCTCATAGTTTATTCTTGCCACAGATATACTTAACCAAACAAAATTCTGACTTGTTTTGTGAGTGTATGTTGTTCATGATTTGGTTGAAATTCGCAGAAAGTGTGAAGATGTGATGTTGTTTAACTCTTTGCGGAAAAAAAAAACGAATATAAGAAGTAATCAGGCAATGCGAACGATAGTTAGGCTATTCTATTAGTGAACGCTGACCGAATATCTCC